AATATATTAAAAAAAAGAAAAATATCCTTAGGTGAGGATTAACAAAACAAAAAAAGGAAGGAAAGAAGGAACAAGTGCATGAACAACAAGTGCTGGGATTGAGGGAGGCACAGGGTGCAGAAGCCAGAGTAAGATAGCCTGGGCAAAGCTGGGAATCAGGCCCGAGGGGTGGTTTTGGGCCCCAAGAGGACCAGCTAACCAGTGTACTCTGCACACAGCCTGTTTTGGGTACTTTTCCAGCAAAAACCTCAGCTTGGAGCAGCAGCCTCCTCCCCTGCTTTTCCTTCCAGTGGAAGTTGGCTCCTCCCAGGCCTCCAGGCCTTGTGTCTTAGGCCAGAAAGCCAAGCTAGTTTCCGTCCACCAGCCACCTCCCCTGCCATCCCTGCCTCATCATCTGACTGCTCACATAAGCCCAGAGTGGGGTGTGGCTGTTTTTAAGGCCTTTGGCATTTATTTCAAGATGGGGGGAGGACGAACTTAACAAGACAACTGCTTAGCACACTAAAAAAAAAATATTTTATTACTTGCCTCAAATTTGTATGGGGCAAGGGGTAATCAGACACCCAAGAACCCTATTGCTGTGGAGGTGTGATCTGTGGCCCCTTTCATCCTTCAGCCATTGAAAGTTTCAGGCGTAACAGCTCCGTCTTGGTTGGGTTAGGCTCTATGCTAAGTGCTTGGGAGGCTTGATTGCATTTAGATCTGATAATCATGGGCCTTAGGTACTATGATGATGTATATTTCACAGGTGAGGAAGAGGAACTTCAGAGGTAGATGTGCCCAAGGTCATGCAGTTACAAAGTAGTTAGAGCAAGATTTTTAAAAATGTTTTTATTGATTTTAGAGGGAGAGGGAGAAACATCAATGTGAAACATGGGTAGGCTGCCTCCTGCAAGCCCCCTAGTGGAGGATCAAACTTGAAACCTGGGCATGTGCCCTGACTGGGAATCAAACCAGCATCCTTTTAATGACTATGATCTAACTAAATGAGCCAGGATAGGCAAAGATTAATTTCTAGAGCCTTTATTCCTGACTTGGGCCCCTCCTGGCTATGAAATGTCGGTGCTCTTTTGATGCATCAGTTGACCTGAATAACTTCCACCCAATCCAGCCTGGCCTCCAGGACTCCGGCCCAGTGCCACTCTGGGTCAGCTCCAGACAAGTGAGTCTAACCTTGTCTGCACAGCTGGTGCAAGGGGCTCAGATTTTCCCAGGGTTTGGCAGCTTGTAACTTGACCTGGTGTTGATCTCTAAAGCCGGTGGCTGCAAGGTCATATGATTTTCTCACCTTTGGCTGCTCCCTACTTCAGCATGTCTGAGTTGGGTTGTTCAGATGGGCAATAAAAATGATTTAAGATTAAGTTCCTAAGGAGAGCCGCGAGGAGGAAAAACCAATGTCCAGAGTAATTTCCCTAGGCAGTGGGCAAAGGTCAGAGCTCAATAGTCATTTTCTTGTCTGAGTGAGTTTTGATTGCCAAATTATATTTGGAGTTGTTCCTCCTTTGTTTTTTCCACAATGCAGTGAAAGGTGGAATGTATTTGGAGAGGTTAAGCCTGATATCATATTTGACCCAAAGGGATTAGCAAAGACTAATGCAGGCACTAATTTAGGAGTCTGATGTTGAATGAGTGCCCATCATGCCCATTATGGAGAGAAACAGGGCTCTGGAGACGGAGTAACCAGAATTAAATCCTGGATGCCATTTCTTAGCTATATGACCTAGGAGAGTGAGTTGGTCTCTCTGAACCTCCACAGCTATAAAAGGGGAGTAATACTACTTCAGTTGTTGGGACGCACCAGGGACAGCAATGAGCACACAGCCAGCGCTCAAGTGATAGTAGTAACAATTGTCAAATGACTACCACGAACCAACACTGTGCAGTTATGAAATAAAAGCTAAACACTATTCATATAGAAGAGGCATTATTATATCAAACTTCCCCAAGTTGCAAGCTATTAAGCAGCCAATTCAGCAATCACCTGTCTTTCTTAGGACTGGAGCCTCAGCCAGCACCACTTCAGATCTCTGGGCAGCAGGCCCCGGGGTGAGAAACTAGGCCATACGAACATCCTCCTGATCCGAGGCCAGATGGGGCCAAGCCTAGAAGGCTGGGTCTCTGCCAGCAGTTGAGCAGCATGACCCACAGTCCGAGAGCTGCTTTCTCTGTTCAGCACGAGCTGGATAGGCTGGCACTGTGCCTCTCCAAACCAGGGGTGCTTCCATGCCTGCTGACCAGGTTCTGGTCTCATCTTTCCATGGCTCTAACAACCAGTCGCTGGGATCCAAATGCCAGCTGAGCCCCCAAAGAGTAGGATAAGAGAGCCCAATCCCTACCCAGGTGTGACCCCTTTGCCTTCTAAACGAGGCATCAATCCCTAAGGACTGTAATAGAGCATATCTGAAAGGCCAAGTGGTATGGAAATTAATGAAGACTGATGGAATTTAAGAAAAAGGCAAAACCGCTTTGGGCTGAGGCAGCTTATCTGCAACCGTCAAAAGAAACCAGCTAGGTTATAAACTCAAATCGTCTGTAAGACGTGGGAATGCCATAAAATTGAGTGAAATCGGCTTGTTACAAAATAGGGGATAATGGGGACAACCTTTGATTTTGGAACTGCAGACCCTTGGAATATAATTGGCCCACAGGAATGGTTGCTTTTTTAAGCTCAACTGGTATCATTCAAGAGAATGTGAAACCTCTGTAAATCCTGCCAAACATCACCAAGGACTTGGAGGTGGGGAAGTGATTGAGGAATACAAAGTGACTGTGTGATCCAGCTGAGCTTCCATCTATTTAAAACATTCTCAGGAAGCATGCCTGCTGGTCCTATAGTAAACTAAGTCTTTCCTCACAATTGCTGAGACTGTGAGTTATGACTTACTGGGTGGGCTTGTCATTTTGTGTTAGTTTAGAACCAAACATTTGGCTCACTTAGTAAAATTTATATCTTTATAATTTCCATTTTATACCTTTCTCAGGTAACTTTTAATAATCCTTTTTTATGTGAGAACATTTCATTATTAATCAATAATATGCATAAAACAATTTACTGGAGTTGCCACTTCATCTGTCTTCACTGCCAGTCATTTCATCTCGTTTCCTGACTTCACAAGAGATGATTTCTAGTTCACACTCTTTTTGGAGAATAATTTTTAAAAAGAGCCATTACTAGTTGGTCCGAAGGTTGTGGGTTATTGTTAAGCTGATTAAAAAGAGCCATTACTGCTTCAGACTGATTTAAAACAAAACCAACATAAAAAAACCCCACAGCATCATCACTGTATTATTATAATTTTTCCTTAAGTCGGGGGTTTATTTTCACACCAGAAGAGCAACTTCTCTGTAATGTTAAAGGTGGCAAAAGCACCTGGATTTCTAACACTTCTCTAAAACAGAAACCACAAGGATAATCACAGTTGCAGTCTCTAATATGGAAAATAACGCTAGAGTTCATTTAAATGAAATCAAATCATTTTTTTCTTCCCCAATCCCAGCCTCATTCAGCCTTCCTTCCCCTCCTGATTCTTCAACAGTTAAAATAAACCTCTATAAATACCAAGTCACAACCACACAAATCTATAAAGGCAAGTTTTACAAAGCAAAAGGCAGGCTAAGATTGTCCATTAATCTTCATTCCTCCCAAACATCTTGGTATAAACATATGGCAAGGTTAGGGTGACCCTTTCTCCTGATTACACTTTGTTTGCTACCAAAAGCTCTTACTTCTGAGGGGGGAAGGATGCAAATTCTGTAGTTGAAACACTGTCCTAGGCCAGAATCTGATCAGAATTACTTGGGATAAAATGTTCATCACCCACAAACCTTCATTCTGATTAATCTGGAAGTTAGATCCATTCTCAATGGTTTCTGGCTTGTGAGACAATGTTTTACTTTGTATTTTCTTATCCCTATGCTGGCTGGCCGACAGCCAGGTCCTCTGTATCCACAAGCCCCATGCTTCAACACATAAGAATGCTCCATCCAGCCTTTTTTGGTCTTGCTGCCCTGAAGGCAGTGAAAACCAGTTGAATCCAACTTAGTCTTAATCACAAGCAGGCAGGGAATTTCAGGGATAAAAAATTTAAGATTTGCCAACCTAAAATCAAATTATAGGACTTTAGGTTATCTGAAGTCATTTTAGAGCATTTGAAATTGTGAAAAGATAGCTTGGCTACTGAACATGAGAAGCATTTCCCTGTTTACACACAGCCCTATTTGGCACTAACCTAGGAAATAAAATCTAAATAGAAATAATCTCTTACCAGTTCTCCAAATGATGTGCTCGTAGCAAAGACTAGAAAAGAGAAAGCAGCAGTATCATTTTAAAACCATGTAGTCAGAATCTGAGCGATGTTAAGACTCCAACTACATCTTCCCTACTTCCCTTGCTTTGGACACTCATACATTAAAGTATTACCATCCTGTTACTACGACCTTCTTCCCAAAGAATGGAAGATATAAGCATGTTTCTACTTGACTCTTATTTTTCAACCTCCCTTTCATCTTGGCACTATGGTTTTCACGAGAAAAGGAAGCAAGCAATTCTGGCCTTTTAGGAGAATGATTCATTCAAAAAGCGTTGCTGCAACAATTCTCCCAGAAGAAATCAATGTACAAGTTATATCTATGAAGCATTAACTCTAGCCATATACTTGTGCTATTTCTTCACTACCTTAATTTGTTTGTAGTGCTCCATCAATCTTAAAATGGAGACAGACAAAAAGCATTAAACTTTCCAACATATTTAAGAAACATTTGCAGCCGAAACCGGTTTGGCTCAGTGGTTAGAGCGTCGGCCTGCGGACTGAAAGATCCCAGGTTCGAATTCTGGTCAAGGGCATGTACCTAGGTTGCGGGCACATCCCCAGTAGGAGGTGTGCAAGAGGCAGCTGATCGATGGTTCTCTCTCATCAATGTTTCTAACTCTCTATCCCTCTCTCTTCCTCTCTGTAAAAAATCAATAAATTAAAAAAAAAAAAAACATTTGCAGAAGATAATGATTTTTTTGTCTTTAATTAAAAAAACTCACCAAAAATATATAATCAGAATTTTACATGATACATACATTCTTAATATCTGCAGGTAAGATAAATAACAGAGGGCAAAAGCAGGTATGCTGTATTGCTTCTCTTTGGTAAGTTACCAATATTATCCCCTACAGAAACATAGGATACATGTAAAAACAAACAAAACAACAAAAAGCACAAAACCATGGTCTTAAAATAACTGAAGCTTACTACAAATAGCAAAATATTTAGCAATAAAATAATCAGTAGATGGATTTTCAAATTGACTATTTCAAATTTCAATTTATAATACTTTATATACAAAGGTTAAAGTAACAAGCTGCTTTCCAACATTGAAGTCTGCAGCAGTAGTTTGGGGGGGTGGGTAAGGGCACCCTTTTCTAGTTATATCCTGGCTGTTTTTAATTGAATAATGTCACGTTCAAACTCTATCTCTCAGATGCCATTGTTAAGGAAAACAAAATCCTTTTCCTATACAAAAATTTTGTTTTACTTGCAAGTCAGTTGTCTGCCCCTTACCGCCAAATGCATTTTATGAGGCAATTCAATTTTCTTAAATCAATATTTACCATCTAAACTCAGTGTTCAAAAAACAAAAACAAAAAACTTCCTTATACTTTCAGCAAAGATACATGTTGTGGCTCTACTGAAACAATGCATAAATGTTGGAACTAAAGTTAGAAAAGCAGAAAGGTCCATTCAACACATAGCAGCTTATATCTAAATATGCACATGTATGTATGTTTTCACAGTTAAATTTTAGAAAAAATTACATTTTATATGTTCAAAATATTTCTACTGTGGTCTATAAATAATATTTTAAAAACTCAACTAATTAAAATGCAGTACAAGAACATATCAAATTAAATAAATCTAAACCTTGACAAACAGATACTTGAAGTCAGTAAAGCTTGAGGTTTGTGTAAAGTGTGTTCCATCAGTCCCTACTACTCTTATTACAGAGTTCTTATATACGATAGGAAAGAAACTCCAACAACTTGGAAGGAATCGGCAGTTTCTGGACTTCTTGAGTAGGCATCACCCTCCGGATTGACATGCGACATAAATGCTGAAGGCTAGGGATCTGCCTTGGAGTGGCCCAAAAATACACACTTCCATCATGTGTCCTAAACAGAAACAAAACAAAAAATCACAAGCTCAGTCATCCAAATACATTTCAACATCCTACAGTTCGGTTATCCATCCAAGGCTGTATATTAAGAGTCACAAATTTCATGTTAAAACCTAATTAAGGCCCAGCCAGTGTGGTTTAGTGGTTGAGCATTGACCTACGAACCAAGAAGTCATAGGTTGTTTCTGGTCAGTGTATATGTCTGGTTTTGGGCTCAATCCCCAGTGTGAGGCATGCAGGAGGCAGAAGCTCAATGATTCTAATCATTAATGTTTCTATCTCTCTAATTAAGGAGGTCTAACCCATGATCATGATATCCTCTATGACAAAGAGGTTATTATAAAAAGCCTTTATTAAAGATTTACTGACAATACTGGCTGCTTTGATTAAAAACCTCCTGAAATTATCTATTAAAAACAAAGTAGTAAAATGGATTTACCCAGCAGCTAAAACACTGCCATCAGTAGAAAAGGCACAGCACAGACCATTGCTCAAAGGTGCAACTTGTACTGGATAATCCTCATCAATTCTCCAGAACCTCACCATTCTGGAAAGGAAAAACATTGCCCAGTAAATATCTAGTAGGAAATTTCATGTAAAAGCAACTTTAAAATTTACAAAGAAAAACCAGTATGTTCTGAATCACAAAACAGTTACACTCACACACACACACACACACACACACACACACACAAATCACTGCAAATAGCAATTACTGTAACTTGCTTTATAAAAAATTTTATAGTCTTGCCCTGGCCAGGTGGCTCAGTTGGTTGGAGCATCGTCCTGTGCACCAAAAGGTTGAGGGTTCAATTCCTGGTCAGGTTCAGATCCCTAGATGGGGTGTGTACAGGAGGCAACCAATTGATGTTTCTCCCTCACCCCTCCTAAAACCAACAAACACATTCTCAGTTGAGGATTAAAAAAAAAAAAAAAAAAAAAAAAAAAAAGTAGCCCTAGCTGGTTTGGCTCAGTGGATGGAGTATTGGCCTATGGACTGAAGGGTCCCGAGTTCGATTCCGGTAAAGGGCATATGCCTGGGTTGTGGCTTGATCCCCAGTGAGGGGGGTGCAGGAGGCAGCCAGTCAATGATTCTCTCTCATCATTGATGTTTCTATCTCCCCCTCCCTTTATCTATGAAATCAATACAAATATATTATTTTAAAGTATAGTCTATACCAGCTGGTAATTTATATCAACTACATCTCATTCATGTGACATTTCATCTTGTAGTCTCAATTGCAGTGGATATAAATTACTCTTTTTACCATTTATCACTTTGACAATGTTCTTTTACTTCAACGTTTTTAAGATAGCACTGCTAGGCTAAACACTAATTAAAAACCACCCAGTTTGCCAGAACTAGTTAACAAACAAGGAACACAGGGAGGGGGGAGAGACTGAGTGGGAAGGGAGCAAAGTGGGAGAGAAATGGGAGACATCTATAATACTGTCAGCAATCTATATAATAATAAAAGCTTAATATGCTAATTAGACTGGACATCCTTCCTGACAAAGCTGGGGCTGTGAGGGAAGCCGGTGCTGACCGATGTGAGAAGGAAGGCGTATTCTTTCACAAATTTCATGCATTGGCGTCTAGTAAAAAAATTTTAAAAATTTTAAAAATTAAAAAAAAAAGAACACAGGGAAAGGTATGCATTATCTTTAGTTTACATGGATATTATTCAGGTCAACATTCTTTAAAAGACATACCAACATCTCCCGGGATCTTGTCTAGAGAAAGAGACACTAAAACCCAAACTGCAAAAAGGTTTTTTATTTTCTTTAGCCGTAAGTATGTTATAAATAGACAGATGAAAGGAAAATTTTAAATTACAAGCTGTAATTCACACACTTACTTATCATCAGCAAGGCTTGCAATATGCAGTCCATCATGACTAAAAGATACAGATCGTACCCATCGGTCATTTGCTCCTCCAGCAAAGATTGGAGTAGGTGGGGGAAACAGGTGCCTGAGGTCAAAACACATGTTTTCAGTGGAAATGAATCATTTTAAGAAACAAAAACTACCAAGTACAAAGTACTTCTATCTTTGAGTAATGTTTAAAGTGGCCTTAACATAGCTAAGAAGACTTGAAGAGCTGATGTATCCAAATTAAAGGGACCTGAAAAGAATTACTAATCTCTCTTTAAGAATGTGGTTTAAGGCACTAAGATTAAGCTCAACTCTAGTTTTAACTATTTTTCCCAATATGAAACTCTAAATATAATTACTTCTATAGAGTCATATCCTGTTAAATAACAAGATCTGCATAAAGAGAGCCAAGTTTAATTTTAGAATTTATATTTAAAGCTTTGCATTTTTCAAGGGCTTAAATAAATAACAAAATTTTAAATTCCAATAGACAGCAATTTTAGGTTTCACATGTATTTTAATCATTTATAATTTTTTAAAAGTTATACTGATAGCCAGAGATGAATTACAGACTAAAGTAATTTGTGCTGTACTCACCCAAATTCCATCAGAATGTCTCCAGTATGTGGATCCCAGACATAAACTCGAGTATCATAAGATGCAGTAGCCAGTAATGCTCCATCAGGAGAAAAGTCACAAGCTACAACATCATGGTGATGTCCTTCTAGTTTCCGTATCATTGTATATTTATCCATGTCCCAAAGGAAAACCTGCAATAAAAAGGCAAATGTTATAGCTTCATTCAGACACACAGAGGACAAAATGGCACATCTTAAACTAAAACTGCTAAATTTAATTCAGATTATATTAAATTAAAGATTATAAATTATGGATAATTAAAAGAATATGCTCAGTGTCATAGTCAGATTAAAATCAGTCTTTAAGTTAATTAAAGTAGACATGCAAATTCTATTTCAAATGTTTCTGTTAAATGTTAATTAAAAAATAAGCCTACATGTAAAAAAGGCAATGTAATTTAACCAGTTATACTGAAATCCATTTATTCCAAAAACTAATTAATTAAAATATACAGAAATAAATAGGGTTAAGTATTACAAACCCCTTTCTTTTTCTTCCAGAAACTACCAAATTTTAAAAAAATATACAGACAGAAAATGTAAGGTTAACAAATTGTTACTCCATTGGCATCTCCTTTGAGATATCACTTGTTTACAAAAGGCTTGGGTCACCAACGTGAGCCTAGGAAGAGAAACAGATACTGCAAGCAAGGAGAATTTTCACAGCCAAATGAAATTTCTTTGGCAAACAACAAGGATGTTAAACCACATTACAAAATAAAAATGCTAATTTATGAAAACAATACAGTAACAACATTTCTGTGAATCAAGATTTGCTAATCTGATTTTCCCAAATTGACCACACAATCATTATTAGTCATTTTAAGTAAAAAACATTTAAATTACTTTAGTACAAGTTCACGTATAGTTTTTAGATTCTAAAGTCAGTAATTAGACTGTGCAGAATAGCTATAAATAGGATTCAAATGTTTACTGCACTCTGTTAATACTAAATGTGAGCATGGAAATTTAACAATTCTAGTAAGAACTTCTCTTCCACTTGGGATAAAACAATCCTTTTGGCTACATTTTTTTTTTTTTTTTTTTTCACAGACACAATATATTACTTCCAAAGAGGGGGAAAAAACACACAAATTTTTTAATTGAATCAGACTTAAGGTATCTCTACCATCTCAAAGAATTCCAAAAAATAATACAGAGAAACCATCTGAAAGCCAATTACATTACATTACATTGGTTTCACATGTCAGACTCCCAATTCCATCAGACTGGAAGATTAATTTACTTGGGAGTCATTGGGTTTCACTGGGGGGAAATTATTTTAAAAAAGAAAAAAAAGAAAGAAAGAAAAGCAGAAAGTGGACATCGACCAGCACCTGTGTACGTACAGTACACCTTGCAGCCGAATGCAAGGTTACTTCATCCTATGGTAAAGGTCGCCCCCAGCCCGGTAGCCAGAGATGCCACTCTTTCTGCCCAGCTAACACCATTGTGCGCCTGTGTGCGAGTGGTGCCAGCATAACCTCAATCACACCAATATTGCTGCCACCACCTGTGACAGGGAAAGCAAGAAGCATATGGAAAACACACAGCCTAAAATAGCAATGTCAACATCTAGCTTTGTTGTTCTTATGATTTTTAAAGAGCTAAACTAAATATTTTTTCTAAACTTCCAACATTTGCAACTATCATTTTAACATAGTTCTTGGACAGATAAAATGCATTTTAAACAGCCTCCCCCTCCCCATTATCACATGTATTTGGACTTCAACCATTTTCAGTAAATATCTGAAGCTAAAAAAGATCTCTATACTGAGCTGGTAGACAACTAGAGAATTCATCAATAAGCGTAACCCTCTTAAGAGTTACTTTATACTTAATTTAAGAATTACTTTATACTTAATCGGTGTACAGGTATGCTATGCCAATTAGCATAAGACAGATCATACCAAATTTCTTCTATAATTCACTCTAGAACATACATGAGTGCTATTTTCATTTTTATTAGGTTTTTAAGTTACTTTTTCTCATTAAATGTCCAGGACCAGCTGGGACTCAAACTTTTTAAACAGCAAACTGGACAAAAAAAAATAGAACAACAGAGAAGAAAATTATTAGCAAGGGAATGTCTTAACATTTGGACTATATCTCTTCTATAGCACATAAACTTTCCTAGATCTTAGGGAAAAATAAACCCCTTCTTTTATGAATAGTATCTCTAACTAAAAGTAATAAAATTTCTTATTTCACAATCAATTATATTTAATTTCCCTCATGCAAATACTCCATCACAAAATGAAACATTTAAGATATTCATGACACCGAGCACAGACTTGATATGTTTCTTAGATTTAAAAGTGATTAAGCACACATTATTATAATCTAATTCAAAACAAATGTATAAGAACTTTGATACATACGGCTTTACTGGCTCCCACTGAGCACAGCATGGAAGAGTCAGGAGAGAATGCACAGCTGTACACCCAGTTCTGATGGGCTCTCAATACTTTCATCATGTTTCCTGAACAAAAAGAAATACCCGTGTTAACCCTAGAATCCACTTCAAAAAAATGGCAGATCACAAAAAAATGGCAGAATCACAGTGACAGTGATTTATCTACAATAGGTGAGCAATACACATCAGTTACTCATTTTTGTAACTAAAGTTTTATTGGAATACAATCATGCCAATTTGTTTATGTTGTATTCAAATGGCAGAAGTGAATAACTATAGCAGTTAGCATAGTCCACAAGCCTAACATTTGCTACTTGGCTCTTTAAGAAAAGAAAATCTGCTCATCCTTCTTTATAGAAAAGACTTCTTTTGGCCTAATCCCTCTATTCTACAAAGAACTGAAACACACAACAAGGTTAAGTTTTAATAAGCATCTTCAAAATACCTTTTTTACCCTTCTTTCTTTTTGATAATCTATATTTTACTCCAAATTCCCTGTACATTATACCCTAAACACACAATTATGACTAAGTATATTTTAACTCTTAATCTTACAAATATTTACTGAATACCTACTACATGCCAGGCAGTGAAGATACAGCTGTAAATAAAAATTCCTACTCTCTTGGTGCTTACATTTTATTAAGTCTACATTCTTAAGACATATGCACACAACTGAAAATATGTTGAGAAAGCAAGCATTATATATGTAAAAGAATTTTTACATATAAAAAATTAAAATTTAATTACCAAACTGTTTTAAGGATTGGGATTCCTTAACCCTTCAGCACCTGAGAAATCAGAGAATTGATAAAATGCAAAAGAAGCACCTCATTGTTTGGGAATAGTAATGTATTGTTTTATTAGGCAATGATTGCTACCCATTAGCTGGAACAAGTCTCCAAATCTGAGGGGTTTGCTTCCTACTACATTAAGCTAGCTAAGCAAGTTTTTTTTCTTCTATGAAAATCTATGTGCTTAAGTTTTTTCCAAGAATCAACTTTCATCTTGAGGCTGTTAGAGAATTAGCAGATCTTATTTAAATACAAGATTTTAGTTAAAAATATACTCATTAGAAGCTAAGAGGGAAGATATACTCTCTATGGTCCTCTCAAACTTTAAGCATCACAAGTATCAAGGTTTCAGAAAAATTTGAGTAATTGCACTAGCATATCTTTTATTACATTAAAGGGCAATTTTCCTTTTATAATTTCTTACTTAACCTATCCAACATAATAATATCCTTACTAGCATTTACATATTATAAATTCTGATGTAGAAGCCATATTTCAATCTAAATTTTATTAGATCACTAAGTTACATCTGTTTGTTAACCTAGAAGGTCTACTTATATTTTCACTAAATGAAGGAAGTTAATAACCCTCCCTAAGATAAGGAAATAAACCAACACAGACCAGTTCATATAAAACCCTAAAACTGATCTAGATGCTATCCTCAAATAGTGATACAGATCTGTGTGGTTAGTTTGTGAATAACATTAGATTGTTTACTTAAGAGTAATGGCTGGCTCCTATTCCAGGTCACATTTATGGTTTTATTTTATCAATACAAGGAAAAGGGCCAAAGAACTAAGTAGAGAAAAGGGAACTGATCATATGCTATTTTTAAAGTCAAATGCCCCCAGATAAACCCAGGAAGTTTCAGTAGGAATATCAAGAAACTAATTCTTTTTCATAGCCTGGAAAAAAGGACATACCATCATCTTTCAGGTCCCACACTCTCAGAGTTTTGTCTCTTGAAGCTGACACTAGGATCAAACTCCCATCTGGAGCAAAAGTTAAATCTCTGACCACATCAGTATGATCTACCAAGTTAAGGAGGAGTTTTCCTAAATGCAATAAAAAGGAAAAATAAGATAATGTTAACAACTATTATCAGTTACTACTTTATAGTGTTCCTCACCATTTAAAAATACTTGGGCACATCTTTAACTTACCAAGTATAAAATGACTTACTAGTATTTTTACTATTATCTTTAATGATTCACTATTTACATTGTATGTTTAAGATTTTTAAAATTCATTTTTAGAGAGGAAAGATGAGGGGGAAAGGGAAAGAAACATCGATTGGCTGCCTCCTACAAGCCCACCACTGGAGATAGAGCCTATAACCCAGGCCAGGAATCCAATTGGCAACCTTTGTGTATGCCCAACCAAATGAGCAACAAAGCCTGTATTTATTAGAAAAAATTAAAAGAGAATTCGATTTCCTCAAGCATACACAAATTCCTGGAACAAGTTAATTTAGTATATTAAAAAAAAGAAATTATCGCCAAGACCAGTTTGGCTCAATGGATAGAGCATCGGCTTGGGGACTGAAGGGTCCTGGGTTCAATTCCGGTCAAGGGCATGTACCTTGGTTGCGGGCATATCCCCAGTAGGGGGTGTGCAAGAGGCAGCTGATCGATGACTCTCATCGATGTTTCTAACTATCTCTCTTCCTTCCTCTCTGTACAAAATCAATAAAATATATATTTTTAAAAATTATCATTTTTAAATCTTTGTATAATGTGGTTTTAAAATATAAATTTTCCTTAGCCTTGGATTACTAGTGGACTATCATCCCCCCAAAATGCAAGTTATCTCACAAACACTTAAATTTTCAAACATAATTTCAGTGGGGGAAAGTACTTTGTTCATCTACTATTTTAAGGTTTGTTTGTTTTTTTTCTTCTATGAAAATCTATGTGCTTAAGTTTTTTCCAAGAATCCAATACATTTAATGACACCCCCACTCCAAGTTTGTACCACTTGCTGTGTTCTAATGTACACATTATTCTAATACTCATATTAAAAAATCTTTCCAAAGAGTTAAAAATCAGATTTGCCTTGAAACGTGTAAGCTATCAACCACTGAAAATAGAAATCACCTAGCTCGAGTCATAATTAACAAAACATTCTTAGATATGCCCTTCTTGCTGTAATATCCTCAAGAGTGATCAGTGTGAACTCTATTATCCTGTTAAAACCACAGCTGAAGATGTCATTATGCCAACTATAAAGACACATTGTACCAATTCTTGCTTTTCACTAAGTTTAAAACCTCAAATCATATATTCTACTGCCTACTAGCAACGCCCTGCCTCATAAAATAATCAAGCTTGCATTTAAAACTCTGAATCCATACCTGTATATACATCCCATATTTTGATACGCCCATTGCTTAACCCTGTGGCAAGGAGTAGCTGATCTTGTCCAAATCTGAACCGATGCCATTCTATATTTACACAGCGACTCTGTTTTTCTGGAACTGAAGATCCAAAAGCAAGACTCCAGACTATATCACCACAGTCTATAATATGTTCACGAGGCTTATTTTTCTGAGCACCATCACTGTTTTGTCTTGACAATCTCAAACTGCTTGAATTAGTGATATTCTTTGTGCCATGCAAGAGACTGGGGGAGAGGGGGTAAAGAGAGTAAGGTTAAAATCTAGTTATTTACTCTGGACTTCTGTGGATATGAAATGATTTTTGTTAACCTCAATATGATCGTGATATTCAATAATTATATAAATCCTCAGCGGAAAGAGGAGGTTCAATAATAAAGTAATTTATTTGTTTCAAAATCACTATATCGGTTAGGACTCCTTTAATTAACCTAAAGCAAGTGTAAATAACCAAACACACAAACACACACGCGCACACACACACACACACACAAAAAGGGAAGCTAAGTATTGTGAAGCTGACACCAGAAAATTTCCCTAAAACCACCCTTGTAATAATCAGTAGTTTCCCCATACTTTCTAGACCTAAAGTAATATGTAATAAGGACACTAATAAGTATAGCCATGAAAATAGACCACACACAAAAAGCAGGGAATGATTAAATTTAGTATATGATACATTTTAGAAAAATTTTCAACAATTAGCAAACTGAATTAAACATAAGCAGAGGATAAAAGTACATAAAAAGCAATGACATGATATATACCCCTTATCTAATGAAATATTAAAAAGCATCACATAACAAAGGTAATCTGATCTGGCACAACACAGTATACACACTACATAATTAATCTGCCTATTAATACACAGAAACATTTATTAAAAACCCAAGAAAGTGTTCTATAATATACTAGAGGTCCAGTGAACTAATCCATGCATCGGTGGGGTTTGGCTGGCCCCGCCCCTGATCAGGGTGGTGGGAGGGGCCTTGGGCAGTTGGCCCCACCCCCTGGTCAAATGCCCAGTCAAGGGGACAATTTGCATATTAGCCTTTTATTATATTAGCCTTTTATTATCCTTTACAATATCCTAATATAATAGAGGTAATATGTGAATTGACCATCACTCCAACACACAAGATGGCCACTCCCATGTGGACACAAGAAGGCAGTTATGGGGGACCCAGGCCTGCAGGGGAGGGCAGTTGGGGGGTTGTGGGGGGCAGTTTATGACAGGTTCCTGAGAGGAGGTGCTGGGGATTAAGAAATTAAAGAAAAAAAGAGACCAAGACACAGAAATAGATTCAAGCTGGGATCCAGGTGGGGGGCTGCCACTCTGATGGAGAGACAAACACCCACCACAGACAACACAAAGCACTTAAAGGGGGGGTTTAAGGTCAAAGAAGTTTGGGTGTGCCCAGGTCCTATTCATTCCCACATTCCTGGGATTTAGCATATCAAGACCTGGCTAAGTCAAGGTCCTATTCGTTCCTCATTCCAAGCACATGGATAAAGATAAGAAATCAGTACTGATAACAGTCTTCCGACATTTTGGGGAAACATCTTCCCAGGGCGTGGCAAAGTTAGTTTCATTAATTTAAAGGTCATCGATGTGCATTCCCAAGAGGCCAGCTCTATAGGGGGACCAGGCCAGCAGGGGAGGGCAGTTGGGCCGACTCGGAGGACAGTTAAGGTGCAATTGGGCCAGCAGGGGAGGGAAGTTAGAGGCGACCAGGCTGGCAGGGGAATGGTTAGGGGGTGATCAGGCTGGCAGGCAGAAGGAGTTAGGGGCAATCAAGCAGGCAAGCAGTTGGGAGCCAGGCTGGACTGAGGAACACCCCCCACCCCAGTGAATTTCGTGAACCATATCTCCAGTATAGGATAAGGCCAGATAATTCTTCCCACAAATTATCCAATACATTCAGCTTATGATAAAATATTTTTATAACAATCTAAATATCAGTATCTTAAAAAAAATTTTTTTTTTTTACTCCACAGGAAATTCTACAAGCAGATACAAAGTACAAAAAAGAAAGGTGTCTTACAAGTTCTTAAGGCACTGAGACCATGGAACAAGCTTTACTGTACAATATCCTTGGGACCAAGCGAAGTAGGAACCATCTGGAGCAAAAGCAACAGTCCAATTTTCACGACCACATTTCTTGTCAAAAGGAGCTGCTAGAGCCAAAAGTTCACCTATAGTACGTGATCTCACTGAAAAAGGGGGAAAAAAACAAGAAATTATATATAACCAGCAATGAATTTGAGACTACCTCCATATTACTTTGGGACTCACTTAACTCCATTGAGTATTTTTCCCCCTTTCCTGTGAGGACAAGATATGAGTTTTGCTTTCCACTCTTTGAGGGGAAATATCTGGTGTGAAGACAACTTAACGATAACATCTTTAAGTTTTGTCAGTTAGTTTCCTAAAATTTTCCAAAGCAAAAGCTTTTTAAAGTTTAAATTAAAAAAAAAAAAAAAAAAAAAAACCTGGTCAATAAAACTGGCACCTTAACAGAGTGCACAGAGAATTTTTATTCTGTATTTAATATGCATGATCAATAAGCTCCTTCTGTACATTCTCAGCTGGAATTTCCTCAATTTTGGGAAAGGATGTTCTTTATCTTGGGTTGGTTTTACTTTCAAATTTTGCTATTCTTCCTTCTGAGTTATAAGTTTTTGCCAAGTTTAGTTTCCCTATTATCTATTTTGTGGTCAGTTGCCTGGTTATCTCTACAGTTTATTTCTAACAATTAAAATTTTGATTTATTCTATGTATTGCAATTCAAATAAGAACTACTTATACTCCTATTGTAAGGGCAGATATATAAACCTCAAAATGTTCAGTGACACTTCCAGTCTCAAATGACCAGCTGGTGTAGCACCTGTCATGACAGGGGCTCAATAAGTATCTATTGAATGAATATGAAAGCACATGTATTAAGTTCTCATTCTTAAGCAATTTTAAATATTTCATTGCCCAATTCTTTGATATATTAATGAATAAGCTATGGTTTAAAAAGTAAAGGAACAAAATAGACCTATTTTTCTATGATACTCATAAATATGAATACCTAATAAGGCTAATTTTAATTTGGTATAGCTGAGATTATCAGAAATTTTCCTTTTGATGACTCAAAATCTTCCTTCTTGCCATTCCACCCACTCAGTCCTGATTCTGACCTAAGAGAATAAGCCTAATCCTGCTCACATGACATTCATATGCTGAAGACAGCTATGACATCATCAACTAAATATTTTCACCAGGCAAAAATTTCTTGTCCTTTTGATCATTCCTTAGATTAGGTAGTTTAAAGTCCATTCCCCATCTTCACCTTCATCATAATTTTCTGGATAAACTCCAGTTAGTAATGGCTCTCATAAAAGTAGCACCCAGAACTAAACACAATATTTAAGATGTGACTTCATATAAGCAGCAGAACACACCCCGCCCCCACCACCTACTGCCAACTCTAATACAACATAAAGTGACATTAACTCCATTAGTAATAATGTGACTTTCTTAATACACAATTTCCAAACGAGTGACTCTCAAATGCCTGCAAAATAACTTTTTAAATATGCAAAGGCTTTTTGAAAGGGCTCGCCTCTCCATGTTTCCTTACATTCCTCCAAGTCCATAATCTTTTTTTGTCTGTATTTTAGGATCATTCTGCATTTTCTTTCAGCACCCAAAATATCTTTAATTACAAGGCAGAGTGTTTTTTTCTTCGTTTACCTTGGCCACAATTACAAACTTCCTTTTATATAAAGGGTGGTAATAAATCAACAACTAAAAAACTGGTTCAAATAAAACAAAAGACCACGAAATAACAAGCTAATTTATTCTTAAATATAAATTCAAGAAATATAAAAAGCACACCTGAGAAATAAATACTGTTACAAGTAATGTATTAATACTTACCTTGTATTTCTTTTTTTAAAAATATATTTTACTGATTTTTTACAGAGGGGAAGGGAGAGAGCTAGAAACGTTGATGAGAGAGAAACATCGGCCAGCTGCCTCTTGCACACCCCCTGCCAGGGATGTGCCCGCAACCAATGTACATGCCCTTGACCGGAATCGAACCTGGGACCTTTCAGTCCGCAGACCAACGTTCTACCGCTGAGCCAAACCGGTTTCGGCTACCTTGTGTTTCTTAATAGGTAAAGCAAATGATCTTTGCAGTTAATCAAATGGACTTAAACACTCATTTATTTATTTATTTTCCCACCCTGCCCTCTTAAATACTCATTTAAATACTTACTGGTACAATATTTTAAACTAGCACAAGGTTTATAATGAAGTGCTTGAGAAAAAAATGTCTTAAACCTTTATTACCTGCAACTGTTTAATGTTGGTATCCTAAGAAATGTATGATTTAGACCTAGTATAAGGGAAAGCTGCCCGCCATGGGAGCTAGGCCGTAAGATACAACTCTACATTATTAATATCTGTACAGTAGTACACATCATCTGAGTCACTGCTGAACCAAATTTAGCTCCTTCTTCACATTCCTCCCTACAATTTCATAACCAGAAAGGATCTCTAATAGTGCCTTGTGAAAGAGGGCCGAAACTCCGACATAGATTTCTTTAATTATTCATGGATTCTTGTTTCCCCTCCTTCAGTAGAAGTAGAGAAACAAAATAGGTATAATTAATATCCAAGAAAGAAGGGGGAAAGTAGTCCTTATAGATAGATACAAAGCTACACAGAGATATTAGTGTTTAACTTTGTATCCAAATAATACTTTAAAAAAAAAAAAAAAAAGCGCCCTGGCTGGTTTCCCACCCGCCAGTGGTTGCAGGTTTGGGTTTGATTCCTGTCAAGGGCATGTACCCACCTCCCTTGCACCCAGGCCCGGGTCAGGGCTCATTCAGGAGGCAACTAATCCAGGGAGGTAGCTCAATGGATATCGATGCTTCTCTCTCAAATATCCTCCGTGAGGATATAAAAAATCTGTTCGGTTAGAAAAGACCAAAGTATTTTTATATTGGCACTTAGTAACCTTATATGCAGGGAATAAGACTGAGACCTACATATATATATATTTTTTAAATTTTTTAATTAAAAAGATTATTTAATTTAGTAGATGATTCTATTATGTAATGAGGGGAGGGAGAAACCACTGGACTAAAAATAAGAACTTTTTTTAGTTATTAAAATCAGTACTATAAAGCCCCCTTCCTACACTGCCATTCCATACCTTACCCTTAAAACTGAAGTCCAGAATTCTAAGCTGTTTCTAAATATAAAAAATATACCCATATACAGGCTAGAGGCCGTTTTGGGTGCTTGAGCTTCTCCCTTTCTCTCCAAATACCTCCTCCGTGTATTTAGTCAAGGCGCACATTTAGTTGAACAAGGAAATGCAAAGGCTCTCTTCCTCAGCTGCCACCTTCAAATTAACGTGGTAAATTCAGATACGATGGGAGTTTTTTTGTTTGTTTTTTGGTTGGGGGTTGCTACCTCTATTTTAATTTCTAAAATAAAAGGATATATATGTCAGGGATACAACGTGTGCAATTCTTACTAAGTCTATCAATGCACTGTACCTCAATCTCCCTCCCCCACCCCACCACCAAAAAAACCCAAACAAACAAAAGTGAGGTGCTTTTTAACTGATCCATCGAGATCTAGACGCACAACCCGCCACACCTACCGGGGCCCCGTCTCCATCGCGGCGGCGCTGGCCGGGAACCAGCCCGCACGCAGCCCTCCCAGAGACGGCCCTTCCTCCGTTCAACAGCCTTTCTTCGGTCACCGCACCCAGCCACCGGCCCCTCCCAGCTCCTGTGCGCCCGAAAGATAACTCCGAGGCGTCCTCCCCCGAGCCACTCCCTTTCTGAACGCCGGGCAGTGCTGAAAAGACTGCTTCTGCCCGGCTGATGGCGGCGCTCGGTCGCGTTTCTCTCCTTCGAGAGCGGCGGGCACACGAGGACCCCCGCCTCTCGTTAACTGCAGCTCAGCACACGCGTTTCCTTTTCGCTTCATAAAAAACGCACTCCCCGCCCCGGCGGCTGATAGGCGCCCAGCGAGGGGGATCGTAGGGAAACGGCCCCGCTCGGACCTCGGAGGAGGACGGAGGGGTCCCCAGGGGGGTGCCGAGCCCGGGCCGCAGTCAGCGGGGCCCTCGCGCCTCGGCGCCCACGTCCCCCTGGACCCTGAGAGCCGCGCGCCGCCTCCCGCGCCGCCTCCCTCGGGGCCCGGGGCAGGGCAGGCGGCGCATCAATGTGGATCGCGTTGATCCCTCGCAACACGCACCCGCGCGCGGGGCCGCTTCCTCCTTCCAGTTGGCTCCGAGGCTCGGCCCGGCTCCCCTTGCGCCCCTCCTCCGCCCAGGTCCCCTCCCCACCCGCCTCCGCCGAGCCCCCGCCTCTCCCGAGCCCCCCGCGCGCTCGCCGGCACCCCTCTCGCCCACCGTCCCGTTTCCTCACCGATCTCTTTCTCGTTAACCCTCGGAGGAAAGCTGGCCATCTATGGGGCACCGTCTGATTCCGGGGGATGCGATGCGGACGCAACGACTGAGAAGAGAGCGGCGAGCACTGAGGGGCGTGACGCGGGATGGGTCCCTCCCGGTCCCGGGGACGGACGAAGGGAGGGGCGGGGGCGGTCGCGGCGGCCTCTTGCCGACTGCCCCGGGGAAGCTCCGGAAGGCCTCGGACCGAACTACGGGGTCAAACACAGACAATAGACCCCGATCGCTGCCTGACGTTCGCAGACTCAGACACTGCCTGCCACGCCGTCGACAGCAAACGAGACACTGGAGACAAAATGGCGGGCGGCGGGGATGATATCTGGATGGTGAGGGGCGTGGTCTAGTGACGTCGAGCCCAGAGTTCCTGCCCCCCGACGCGCGGGACGTGACTGCCTCTGCTTGGCGCCCCGCCTCCCAGCCGGCTGCGCGCGCGCCCGCGCCTACGCTGGCGGGACGGGATCCGCGATGGAAGGAAGCGCGGGAAGGCGGAAGCTGAGGCCGGAACTCCTGAGGAGGAGCTGACGGGGCGTTTTACCGGGTCTGGTTTTCTCCGCCGGCACCCCTAACGCGGTACTTATAAGTTGCAATGCCTTTGAAAAGGCAAGTCGAAAATTGTAGAATACCATTATACACATTCTTAAATCCCACAGCTTCAAGATTGTATGGGACTTAAACTAGCTGAACTGAAAAGAGCAAAGAAGACATTTCAGATTTTATTCGATTTGGCCACTTCCGCAGCCCCCAATGTGATCGGGAACTGGAGGTTGCGCAGAAGGAAAAAAAAAAGAATGAGCATCGCTGTGCCCCACTCGTCAGGCCGCGGTCGTTCTGACGAGAGCCCGCGGGTTCTAGGAAGAATCGAGGTGAAGGGTCGTGAAAAACACGGAGGCCCGGGCGTGATGGCATCCTGCCCCACCACCGGCCGCGCTGGACCGCCTTTGTCCGGGCCTCGCCGGCAGCCGGAACCGCCCCCGGCTGCAGCCAGGCTGCCGATCCGCGGTGCTCAGGCCTGTGGCCAAGGCTGACCCCACACGTGGTCCAGGCCGTCAGGAGTCAGCTCCTCACGCAGCAGGGCAGATAAATGTGTCAGTGTCTACCAGAAGCCCAGTTGGCTCCCATTTGCAGAGGACATATTTTGCATGTTAATGAGCCCTTGCGAGGACTCTAAACCTCGTTCCAAAAGGAAACCTATAGAAGGCTGGGAATTTCAAAAATGTGGCAGGTACGGATGGGAAAAGAGTTGCATAACCAAACTCGAGAGATTTCAAATGACACATTCGGTGTCTACTTTTTCATGGCAGGAGTGTTAATTCTTCCAATAGTGAAATGTTTAATAGCAGATATAAAAACACTATCTCCTATTTTTATGAAATCACTTTGTTACATCCAGTTAACATATTTATTACCTACTTACTGCCAGACAGTGGGGCTAGTTATTAAATATTTAGAGGACAAAAGAAAAATTTAAATAGGCTTGTAGCTCATAAACCAGCATTTCTAATTATTTTAACCAATGGCAATTACCTCCGTTTATTTGTACTATACCATACAAATTCATGGGGAAATACCAGTTCTTGAGTGTCTGCGAATTATTTTGGTGGCTTTCGTACAATTATTTCATTCCACTGTTGTTTGTTTATTTATTTATGGTAACTAGCAGACTTTTTGACCATTTTCTCAACTGGTAAAGCATGATAGTGAAATGAAAAATAATTTTATGATTTGTGTACTCGTTAGTGATAACATTGAATGTTTATTGGATCCACGCTACATGCTAGGCACTAGGCCATAGACGTGCTTTTGTGGATTAACCCATTTAATACCCACAATGGTTTGAGTAGTGTATTAATCACTCACAGACACTTAGTAACTTGACAGCAGTGACAAAGCTATTAAGTGGCAAAGTGTTAGATTTGCACCCAAATTTCTCTGACTGTCCTGCCCTAGCTACTTCCATGCTACCTTATCTCTCATAAATGAAACCTAGCTGGAAAAGCAAACATATGCCTTGCATTTCATATCTATTTTAATGTTAAATCCGAATAGCCATCATATTCCTTGTAAATCACATAAAGTTAAAGTTCTCCAGAGTTCTATCCTTGGCCCACAGTTTTCCCCCTGCTTCCTTGGAAACCTCTCTTTTAGGTTCAACTACCAGCTCTGTGTGAAGACCCTCAAGTTCTTTCTTGAGTTTAAAATTTGCATATTTAAATAATCCTATATAATAAAGAGCTAATATGCTAAATAAACCAAACAGCAGAACAACCATCTGGACGACCTTTCCCTTTCAGACAAAGCATGGGCACAGACCAGGCTACAAGGGCCAAACCCTTTGCATGAATTTCGTGCATTGAGCCTCTAGTTCACAATAAAGCTCATGGGGGGTTGAAGACAAATATGTGATACCTTAATCAATAAAGAAATTTAAAAAATAAAACAAAAATAAAGCACAATGTGTCAAGACTGAGCACATCATCTTCTCTCTCAGAGCTGCTCCAATCTTCCTTATTCCCTACCTCAGTGATCATATTCACTCAGACCCTGAGCCAGAGGCTAAAGTATTAAGACCCCTCTCCCTCTCCTCTACCCCAGGTGGAATCAATCAACCCACAAGCTCTAACAGTATTTTCCCTTAAACTGCTCTGAAATCTGTCCTCTCCTTTCCAACTCAGCTGCCCAAGATCTTATGACATCTCTCTTTATAACCTCATGCCTTGAGAAAAATCACCTTGGTGTGTTTTCTTCTAGTCTTTTAAAAATGTACTAGCTGGACGTCTTTGAGCAAATTATTTAGCTCCCTATGCTTGTCTTTTCATCTATAAAATGGGGATAGTAATAATATCTATATCATAGTTTTAAAGATTGAGTTGATATAAAAAAGCATTTAGACCAGAGTCTGATACAATGTCAGATACTAAGTGGCAGATATGTGTTGGATATTATTCTTATATATATTTAATAGTAATCCCAGCTAACTGCAAAATTGAAAGATCATAGTCTCATAAAAAATAAGGGATGGGAAAAGAACCATAAAAATAGCATTAAATACATGTATTATCAAAATAATAATTATAATAAATGAAAGTTCTGGAAAGTATTCATTTTCAAAACACTAAAACTGTAATCAGTGGGGAGCTCTCCTCATCCCCATAGGTTGCCTGTGGGTTTCTTGTGATATATTGAGAAAAGGAATTTTCTGAGACTCGCACAGGAGAATGAGATATTGTAGAAAGCTTTATTTCTGTGGAATTATATCCCTCAGTTTCCACTTCATCTCACCAAGGAAAAGGTCCAGTTATACCTTTAATAGGGCTAGGATTAAAGCTGTTGCCCAGTTTTCATTCCATGTCTGCACAGTCTAATCCAGCATCAGGCTAGCTTAACTTGTGTTCCACATTGCAGCTCATCAGTCCATTGCATGAAGGGTCTGCAGGGCCCCAAGACTATGGAGGGAACATGGGTAGGAACAAGCCAAATGAACTAAGGAGCCAAGAGAGCCAAAAGGGTGAGCTTCTTTGTTATGTGTTCCCAGGTTTTCCCAGATTTTGGATTGGCTCCACCCATCCTAGCCAATGATATCTATTCCCAGGTTGGATTGATGGGCGCCCCAAGTTTACTATGCATGTGTCCATCCTCCCCTTTGTCCAGTTCCTTCCACAGTGCTCTGCAGGAAACAGACCAGTGGCTTCCTGGGGAGTGTGAAGTTGCAGCTTTCTGGTGAAGCTGCCCAAATGACTATGCTTATAATGTCTGGCCTCCCACTTTGCTCTTTTCCTATTATAGATTACTAGAGGCCTGCATGAAAATTCATGCACTGAAGTGGGGGTCCCACAGCCCAGCCTGCCCCTTGTCACAGTCTGAGAGCCCTCAGGGGCAGGAGGTGACCCGATGATCAGGGGAAGGCAACACCCCATCACACCTCTGCTGCTGCCACTGCCAGCAGCGCAAGCCTTGGCCAGCCCTGGTTGCCTGAGCCTCGGGTGGCCCTGGGTGGCTGGGAAGCCGCCATCGAGGCTTACCTGTGCCTCAGGCCAGCCCTGGGCAGCTGGGGGACTGAGAAGACTGGGCAACTCTAGAGGCAGGTGCACATAATGTCCCTCAGCCCAGCCTGCACTCTCTCCAGTCTGGGATCTCTCGAGGACTGCTGACTCCCAACCATTCGCCTGCCTTCCTGATCACCCCCTAACCTCTCCCCTGCCAGCCTGATTGATGCCTAGCTTCTGCCCTGCTGACCCGACTGCCCCTAACTGCCTTCCCCTGCTGACCTGGTCACCCCAACTGCCCTCCCCTTCAGGCCTGATCGCCCCCAACTACTCTCTCTTGCAGGCTTGGTCCCTCCCAGCTTCCCTCCCCTGCCAGCGAACTTGTGGTGGCCATCTTTAACCCCATGAGGGTGGCCATCTTGTGTTTTGGAGTGATAATCAATTTGAACATTACCTCTTTATTATATAGTATGACTCGAATGCCCCAGAAAATTATATTAGTAGAGGTCCTGTGCACAAATTTGTTCACCAGTGGGGTCCCTCGGACTGGCCTGCGGGATTGGGCCAAAACCAGCTCTCTGACATCCCTGGGGAGGGGGAATGGGGGGTGTCCTGGATTGTCAGAGGGCACAGGCCAGGCCAAAGGACCTACCACTGCATGATAGGGGCCTGGGAGGGACGCAGGAGGGCTTCAGCATGTATCTGGCCTATCTCGCTCAGTCCCAATCTACCGGACTCTAGCAGCAAGCTAACCTACCGGTTGGAGCGTCTGCCCCCTGGTGGTCAGTGCATGTCATAGTGAATAGTTGAGCGACTTTAACATATCATTAGCATATTATGCTTTGATTGGTTGAACGGCCAACCAGACACTTAGCATATTAGCCTTTTATTATATAGGCGATATTTTTTTTAAATAAATCTTTATTGTTCATATTATTACAAATGTTCCTCATTTCTGCCCCCCCCTCCATTGCTCCCCTCCACCAGGTTCCCACCCCATCCTCTGCCCTCCACCAGGTTCCCACCCCATCCCCACCCCATTGTCCTCATCCATAGGTGCACAGTTTATGTTCAGTCTCTTCCCACACCCCCTCTCCCCTTTTCCCCGAGAATGGTCAGTTCACTCCCCTTCCATACCTCTGATTCTATTATATTCACCAATTAATATTGTTCATCAGATTTTTTAAATTCCCTTGGTTTTTAGATTCACTTGTTGATAGTTACGTATTTGTTGTTCATAGTTTTTATCTTTATTTACTTTCTCTTCTGAAAGAACCCCCTTCAGCAATTCATATAATTCTGGTTTGGTGGTGATGAACTACTTTAGCTTTTT